ATAAAGTACTCGAGAAATACAAGCGTGGCACTTCTTCAACCCGAGCATAAGCCGACACCAATAAACACGGGTCGCAACAGTTTTTCATAATTGTAAAAGAAAAAATTTTATTACATTCTATTACACTATTCTATTCACAATTCTATTACAAATAAAATATTAAATTTATTTAATAATTAAATTTATTTGATGATACACATTGCAAACTTTTGTTATTCAAAGTAATACAATTTTAAAAAATTCTTCTTCTTCTTCTTTAGCCTGTTTTCATCCACTCCTGAACAAAGGCCTCTTCCATTTCCTTCCATGTCTTTCTCTCCTGTGCTGTCTGCATCCACCTCTTTCTTGCGTAGCGTTGGATGTCATCTCGCCATCTCGTTTGTGGCCGGCCAATGCTTCTTTTGGACTCTCTTGGTCTCTATTGCATCAGGACCTTGGTCCATTTGGTGTTGCTTCTCGCAACATGTCCCGCCCATTGCCACTTTTGTCTACTTGCTCGTTCAACCACGTCGGCAACTCCTGTTCTTTTCCTTATCAGTTCGTTTCGGATTTTATCCCTCAGGCTGATTTTCAGCATTGCTCGCTTCATTGCCTTCTGACAGATTCTTAGTCGGTTATTTGCGCTGTTGAAAAAATTACAACATTAGAATTTAATATAAATAATGCTATTAAAAAATTAACTTTTAATTTAACTTAAATTAATTTAATCTTAACGTAGTTTTCAGAACGAAAGAATCCTCACAAAGGTATTAAATTAGAGCAAGCTAAAGTTTGCGGACTGCACTAACATGCATACGGATAAGTATTATTTAATAAACTCTAACAAACCTAAACTCCTCGCTAAGTGTTGAGCAGTAGTTAAATGTGACTGTAATACTTGTAATACAATATTTATTACATCATGTTATTTGTATAATAGCAGGTAATTGATGAAATTTTTTATGTTCTTTAAAACGTTAATGACACGAAAATACCTCTTCAAAATCCGGTAAAAAATTTTTTTGTATAAAACCAAATATATACATATATATATATGTATATATATGTATATATATATATATATATATATATATATATATATATATATGTGTATACATAGACACATATACTAGTATCGAGAACCAACTCAAGTTCCTTGTAGAACCTAGAGAACTAGCAGCGACCGGTATAGAGACTGCCGTGTGCTCGTTAGAACTCTCCGCTCCGCTCCGCGCGTAGCCTAGTAGCTCTTGTTGCAAATATCTCAAATAATATGAGATATTTCAAAAAATTCATAAGCACATTTTTTGTAGATATTTGTCTGTTCTACAACTTTAATCTCTACAAAAATTTCAAAATTCATCGTATTTGTGGAGAAAAACAAATTTGTTTATAAATTGTTAATAAAAAACATACTTAGGAATAGCAGAAAATGGCGGAATTTGAATATGTTGTTCAGTATATTTTTCTAAACACAATGACGTAATAAAACCTTGTGTTGCAATTTTGTCTAGGTCTAATCGTATTTTGACTGAACTATTGTGATATCGAACGCAAATAAGTGTTAGTCAAACACTCAGCTCAAAAGAGATAAAAGGACGGTCGTTGCAGTATTCAGCCATTGTGGACCGATTTGGAAAGCTTCTCCGGCTTGAGTCAAGCAGCCATTGTGGAACGTTTTGGAAAGCCTTTCTGACACGAGGAAAGCAGCCATTGAGAAACATCAAGAGATCTGTTCTTGGCTTAGTCATTGCGATCTTTAATAATTAATTGAATGTCATATTTGAGGAGAGCTTCAATTATAAGGTAACCGTCTTTGGTCTATTTGAGAGAGGAAGTTAGACGCCCGTCTAACGTTACACGAAGGATCTCCGATACTTTTATAGTGACCATTCTCACTTTCAGAAATCTCGAGAGCAAGTTAAGAGGGATATTTTATCTATTATAGAAGAGCCGCGCACTTGTAATGTCGAGTCAATTACTAAAACTGAGCTCAGTCTAAATATATTCAATAATCTTTTTTCGCGGTTGTAACCATTTCAATAACGATTAAAGGATGTAAATTGCTAATTGTTGTGCGATTGATATTACATGATAAACACGAGACTTATAGATTATTCACTTAATTCCTTTCCCATTCAGAAATGATTAGTTGATTCGACGTTGAATCAATGTCGAAAACCGAATGTCGAATCAACGTCGTAATTCTGGTCGATTCGACGTCGAAAGCGTATAAAATATCACCGACTATTCAACTTATCGTTTCAACGTCGTTTCAACGTCGAAGGTTGAAAAATTCGATTGAAATATAGTATATTATATATTTTATATTTTTTTATATATGCAGTGTTTGTCTGGATAGGTTCTAAATATAAAATTTATATATATTATTTATACATATGTGATTGATCGCGCAATCCGAGTCGAAATTTTACTCCTTCTTTCGACCTCTTATTTTTCACATCTCAGGATTCTAAAGGATTTTGATAGGTTCTAATTGTATTGTACTTAGCTCCTACTTTGTGCCTGAAAACGGCAGAAAACGGACTGTTTCCCATTTTGAGGTTTAAAAGAGGAGTTATCGGTAAAACCCTCCTAAACCTCCTAAAACCCTCTAGATCCTACACTGATAGAAAAATGTACTAAATTTTAATTAATGTTTTCTCCAGTAGTCCTTATAAAGTATTTTTTTAATTCAGTTAATATTTTTCGAATGAAAAAAATATTCATCCAATTGAAACAAATTTTCTAAACCTAATAAAATATTTACTGAATTCAAAAGAATACTTTATTAGGACTATTGGAGAAAACATTTATTGTAGTACATTTTATTATCAATGTATTAATTTTTACTACTTTTTAAATCGTAATGAAACATGTTCCATATCACGTACATCATCAATAATTCATATAGTATAGGTTTTGGTAAATTTAGCAACGAGATACGGTTGTGACTTTGACTTATGTTGTCGTATCTCGTTGCTCTGTTAAATGCAATATTTATCTAGATTTATTATTTAGAATCTAAGATTTTTAATATTAAAAAAATATTGCCGCAAAATATTTTATAACATTGTTAATTTTAATTTTAATTAATCACAATTTTAATTAATCAGATACATATAGACATACATGTATCACAATTAATAATGTTATAAAATTTATATAATAAATCTTTTTTTTATTAACCATATGAAACACAACTTAAATAAAAACTCCACTGCAAGTCACCGATAATATACATGACATAGAGCATGTTAATATGATAATGTGGTAAATAGCATATAGGGGGGAGAGTCAGAAAAAATCTAAGAGATCGCACACGTTTGTTTCTAAGGTACAAAGGAACATATATTTATTTGTTTACACTTTTTTATCTACTTGTTCATGTACTCTTGCATACTATCTAAATTAAACTCATATTATATCATAACGAAAAAAAAAATTTTTTTTAACCATTTAAAATTAATATATGTATTGTATCTTAATAAAAATTAAAATTAAAATTTAGTTTCAACAAAATTAAAATTAAAATTGAAAAATGTCTTGATACTGATTGTGAGTATCTTAAAATGAAATATCTTAATACTAATAAAACTTAAAATTAATACCTTAATACCAAATAACTAATCGCATATCACAAATGCCATTTAACAAATAATATTAATAATACGGAATTAAAGAGTCTGGATTACCGATTGAAATCAAAGTAAGAAAAGAAAAGAGAAGAAAAGAGAGGGGGGCCTCTGCATTTGTCTACGAGATAAATTCTAGGGCCAAAATATAAACCAGAGTAACAAGAATAAGAGCAATTCCAAGATCTCAAGACGAGATTAACCTTGCAGAGCTCCTTGTACTACTACGAACAATGTCGATCTTCCAATATGGCGTCCCAAATGAGAATATTGGAAGGGCCCTGCTCGCTGGACCGGACTCCTCGCCTCAATTCTCCCTCTCGGGCGCGAGCTGCCGCAGCTCTCCTTTTCCTGGCGGTGAGCTCTCCTTGGGAAGTCGAATCTCGCTCGGTTGGTCTCCAGAATATGTGCCGCTTAGCTCAATCAGTTACGAAAGAAGGAAAACGTACTCGTCTCGTCCGAAGAAACGCAGCAAGAGCGGCCATGACATTGAACTGACTGAACGAGAGCGAGCCGAGCGAGGAAGGAGTGGGGGCGCTTTGAAAGTGGCGACTCACGCGTCGCGCCATCTACATCTGAATGAAACAATCGGGCGTTTGCAAAACGCGAAGGAATTTGAGCGCAATTTCTGAAGTAAATATTAAATTAATATTAAATAAATGTTAAATAAATGTTTCTTTAAATCATTATTGCAAATAAAGAATTAATGTAAAATAAATATTACATTACTGTCGAATAAATGTTAAATAAATGTTTTTTCAATTCATTATGGCAAATAAATAGTTAATGTAAAATAAATATTAAAATAATGTCGAATAAATGTTAAATAAATGTTTTTTTAACTTATTGCAAATAACTTACTAATGTAAAACAAATATTAAATAAACGTTAAATAAACGTTTAATAAATATTTTTTCTAAATTATTACTTCAAATAAATAATCAATGTGAAATAAATATTTAATAAACATTAAATAAATATTATTTTTACAATGAATTCTACAAATGTATAATTAATAAAAAATGAATATTAAAAACACATTTAAAAAACATTGTCTGCTGATTGGGCAAGAGCTTGAATAAATAAATACCAGTCCATATTCAATTATCGTAAATTTAGTAATATGTAAATATATGAAGATAAGTAATTATAAGAAGTAATAACAAAAAGAAAGATGTTTTATAATAGTTTTGTATATATTTAAAATTTCCTACCTTTAGTTGCACATATACGCATGCGTACTCATACATACACACATTCTTTTAATTTTATTTTGAATTATTTTAATAAATAAAGAAAAAAGAGAGAAAGAAGGAAAAAATAATATAGAAAAATACAATTTTATATAAATAATCATTTATACGTCATATATAAAATAATTTTTTTTAGTTATCAATAATAAAACTATTATTATTAACCTAATAAAATTCCTTTTAATTTTGTTTTTACTATTTTTGATTAAATTAATAAATAGAGAGAACCGTTATTATAAACATTTATTATAAACGTTATTATAAACGTTTAATAAATCATATATAATATTTAATCAAAAATATAATAAACCTATAATAATAAAAATAAACTAAATGCAATAAATAAATTAAGAAAACGTTAGGAACATTAAAGTAGGAGCATGATTTCTTTTCAAACAGAATTGTCAGATTCTAAATAGGAGCCAGAGGTTGAAGAGGTTCAAAATAGGGTGATGTGACTGCTTATAGTATCAAAGTAGGTGTTAGGTCGAACATTTTGGTCGAAAGTAGGTGTTATATTGAACATTGAGGTCGAAAATAGGAGAAAAATTTCGACTCGGTACGCCATTTCTTAAACGTCCATAAAATTATTTTGTACAATTTACATAAACAATGTCGTAATATTTTTTAGGATTAAAATCTAAATTGATCGAATTTTATAAGTGCGCACTCAAAACAGCGCTATTGATCGCTTTGACGTTGAATCAACCTTGAATCGACACTGGACATGATCGATATTGCAGGAATATCGACTTTCTTATCGACTCAACCAGCTGTCAACCATATCGACGTTGAATTAACCTTGAATCAAGGTTACTTTTCTGACTGGGTTCTTATGCGTACGTGCTTCGCACTTAAAACTCGTTTCTAATACATTATCTGCGATAATATATATATTAATCGTTTGCTTGCTTTTTGAGAATATCTCCCAATAGATATTTACTTATATTCTTTACTTGGTAACATTACGGTGCGTACATGCGTAGCACTCACGATTCGTTTATAATAACTTTACTTGCGATAACATATGTTAACCGTTTTCATGCGTTTTGATAATATCTCTCAATATATATATTATTGTATTCTAACCTTGATTATTCTGCGAATTATTAATATTGGATATTGCGTTCTCTTTACCGAATTAATGTGTCAATCAAAGATTGAAAGCCTAATACTATTATAAATCAGTAAACTCAGTCGATTTATACTATTGCATTAAATACTTTACTTTTCTGAAATCAGAAACCTTTCTTTCATGGAAGGAACCTCAGTAACGATTGTTCATGAGGCCGATACGATTATTAATGATCTAAACGATAGATTGATGCATATATTACTTCAATTATTGTGTTAATTGTCTGTGCAATGATACTCATTTATATTGTTTTGTGTGAATAACTTGAAGGATTCTTTCTTTGATTTCTAACCATTTGTTCTGTGCTTGACTACGTCAAGAATAATTATATTAGGGGAGACCGGGGCTAAGCCGACAGCGGGGCGAACTTGACACTAGGCTTTTTGCCAATTTAAATCTATCGTAGAAACTTGCCTTTGCTACTGTAAATGCGTCTTTATGTGCCAGTATTATCAACGGAATTTGGTAACATTCTAAGTTATAGTGTAATTTACTGTGAAGTAAATATACTGTGAAGTTACTTAGAGAAGTAATATACTGTGAAGTTACTTACTTCAGTATTACAAAACTTCACAGTATTGCAGTCACTGTATTGTATTGCTCATTCGGAAAACAAAAGACAAAATCGTAACAATGCCTCGTTTGAATAAAAATTAGTTTGTGCAAATCTCTGCTAACACGACGCACGCACGCACGCACACACACAATGGGCAAAATCCGACCAGCAACCTTCCCGTAGTGTCCATCGGGTAATGCTAATGTTGGCGGTGATTGAATGCACAAAAATGCATAGGTAACTTTGATCAGCCATAACTTGGCGAAAAAAAATCGTACGGACTTATTTTTTTTTTTTAATTTGCAGGGAAAAGTCTATATTTTACGATGGTTGCTATAATAGTTACGAAAAAAATTTATTCTACTCCGTAGAATGTGTCAAAGTATGCAATTTTTTGGAGTCGTAACACGTCCTTACTTTTGGAAGAACGGCGGGATGGGGAAAGGCTAAATTCAAAATCTGACTATGGTTCCTTAAAGTACAGACTTCACCCTTTAAAATAAAAAAAAAACTTTCAAATATGACAATTTTTCGCGGAGTTGTGCTTATTTGAAGTTGGAAAAATTTTTGACGAAAATTTTTGTTGCGATAATTTTGTTGCCCAGTGTATATCATTGAATTTGCCTAAAAATTTTAATTAAATATTAAAAATTGCCTTTGAAAAAATAGTGTCGGCTTAGCCCCGGTCTCCCCTACTTTATATTGAGTACGTGATAATCAAACTGCGATTAAGTACTTTGAAACAAGAATTAAACCGAAGTACACAATTTCTCTCTACATAAAAATTCTCGTGTCATTTGTCCTTCCTCATCTAAATCAAGAGGCCAGGCTCGTTTTTTATTCCCTTTTCATCTCCCGAGCGAATGACCTCGACTTATGGAACACCCTGTATAATTGAAATACGAACATGCTGCATTGTAGCTAACTTGCCCCGATAGTAGGGTAAGTTGGCTATGCGACATAAGTCCATGTTAAATTAATAAAGACGTAATAGAAACACAAAACGGGTAACAGATATGAAAGATTGTATCTTTTAATGTTGTTTTATAATGATCGAATAGCAAAATGCTGTTGCAGAAAAACAATTATAAACTATTTTAGATATAGCTTTCTTCCATATAAAAATATTTATATAAATATATATCTAGCTTCTATCAGCATCGTACCCAGGTAGCAAACACAAGTCATTTTATTTTGTCGTCAAATTTTGGTCCTTTACTGACCATTCCTGACGTCACTAACTGACGGCATAATGATGTTAAAATGATGATCTAATGTCACAGACAATTGACGTCATATTCTGACGTCTTATTGACGGCAAAAATAGGTCCATTGTACGACATACCGGTTTCTAGAAATGTTTTTTATGAAATTAGAATGTTAAAATGTCTACTTGATAAACGTTTATAAAAAAAAATGTTCTTTTTCTTTATCTAAAAAAAAAATCTTTTTTAACTGTTTCGTTACATGTCATGTGCGTATAGCCGCTCTCAAGGTGGTCACTCATCCTAGTACAGTACCACCGCGCCCGAGTCGCTTGACTTTGATGATCTAATGGACAGTGACGATCTTTTCACCCTGATGCGCGCTTCCTTATTAACTGTACTTGTCTATAACAGGTACATTTTTAAAGTGTTCAAAAATCTTGTAATGATAATCTTTTTGATAGCTATAACACTGCATGAAATAGTTATTATAAAACTGTATAATCACACGCAACTACATCTTCTTATACCATAAATTCGCCATTTTAATCATAAAGTTGCGAAACAAACATATTGTAGTTAATTTTGTGGTTTTTATTTTATTATTACTTTGTTATACAATATTAAGAAGTAAAAATAGTTATATTACAAAAAGACCTTATTTCGACGACTTTAAGACGTCTTTAAAATGACGTCTTTAGATGTTCAAATATGGGACAGATGGTCTAAGAAATGACGTCTTATATAAACGTCCATTATTAGTCGCCGATGTCATAGACCAAAAATGACTAAAAATAGACATTTTAATGACGTTATGGAATAATGTCAGTATAATGTCATTTTTAAAGACATAGTCGCTTTTTGATCATTTGACGTCATTTGTACAAACATGACTGGTATTTGACGTCAAAATGACTTGTGTTTGCTACCTGGATAGATAGCAAATCACATGCTTACACAGGTCTCACGCGCGCGGCAACAACAAATTAAGCTAAGCATGCCTTAATTGATATGAGTCAACATACCCCATCCTTATGATTTCAGTCATTTTCTTACAATAAATTACTGTTGTTCCTCAAAATGACATGTCGTATAGTAACAGAAATTTTTTTTTTAACTAATAATACGTCACTTTGATTTACTTCTCAAGCTGAAGAGGTTAATACGATATTTTGAAACGTTCGAAAATTTACTTGCCACCTCTTGAATTAGAGTTTTCTCTTTTTCTATTGTAACACTTGTTTGATTTATTAAAACTTTGGAAAAAGTACCTATATCATAAAAGAGATATTTTGTGATGACTTTTCCATTATTTCTTTTGCTATAAATGCATAAACGGAACGCACTGCCAACTTGCCTCTTGTGCCAACGAGCCCCGGTCTTCTCTAAATTATATTTATGAAGATTTTCAAAATATTTAGTAAAGTATTTATGACATATGATCAATATTAATAAATATATATAAAATATTTCTCAATGTTTAAAATTTATAACAATTTAAGTTACACACGTGTATTAAAATTAGATTTTTTCTTATCAAAGTTTATATACATTGAGAGAGCAATATCATTAAGAAATTATTTTTTTATTAAATATCTTGGAATTACGAGTAAAATGGTACTTCTTATTCTTATGACGCCGCGGCGCCGTCTCCTTTCGAAGGTTGGCGATCCAAATGGCCAACATAGTCTTAGATACGGCCATGCGAAAGATGTCCACTGAAGTACAGCCAAACCATCTTCCGATGTCTTTCAGCCAGGAATTTTGGCGCCTGCCGATGGATCTCTTCCCTTGAACCTTGCCTTGGATGATCAGTCGCATGAGTTCGTATCTTTCTCCTCGCATCAGGTGTCCTATCCTATATATCTCGTCTTTCTCTCCCTGATTGTCAACATGAGTTCTTTCTGCTTATGCATACGGCTAAGGACTTCCTCATTGGTTATTTTATTTACCCATGATATGCGCAACATACGACGGTACAGATACATCTCGAAAGCATCTATTTTCTATTCCGTATTTGGGTCAAGAGTCCAGCTTTCGCAACCGTATAACAGGGTAGAGAATATGTAGCATCTGATCATACGGACCCTGAGGTCCAAAATGGTACTTGCATGCAAAAATTTGTTCTCTATATATTTATTTTAGACATTATTTTTATTTTCGCATAAGTTACAGATTTGTGTTATGGTTAGTATAACTTTGCATCGTGATGCGAATGAGAAGAAGTTCTGTTAATCTGTGAACAGATGGAGGAAAAAGCCTGGAAGTACACCTGACGCCAGTTCAACAACTTTGCAGTAAGCATTACTATTTGTGTAAATTAATCATTTCTTCCCGTTTATTTGGATCGCTTTATTTCAACAATTTAAAAATAATCATTAGAGAAAACAAATTAATCTGATACCGTGAAAGTTTAGTTTTATAAAGATTTTTTTTGAAAAATTTACAAATATTTTAATAAATATTAAATCAAAATGTGACAAAAAGTTCTAATAATCTTTTGAATCATTGATTATTCTAAGCGCTATTTTAATTTAAATCTTATGGTTGTATATGTTACAAAGTCATCGCGGCTGACCACTATAAATACATATATTTTATATATTTAATACATTCTATTTATATTTTAATTTTGTGACCAATAATAACACGTGAACATAGTGCTATTATTACGACGTTGACAATCATTTTGTAAAAAAATAAAACCTTTCTTTTGCGTTTTATGATTTTCATTAAATCGATATTTCATTCGTGCTTCAAAGGCTTGCATTTGTTTTACAGACAGGGATAAATTTTACACGAAGTGGTTGAGCAGAGGAAAGTACCAAATCAACCTGTATCCGAAGATTCTTTAAATAATCAATGGGCTCCAAGTAGAAATTGTGTATCAGAGGAGCTATCATCGCTTTCATTTCCAACATAGCAAACCGTTGACCTATAATTTGGTACATATCCTATGTTAATATAACATGGTATTATATCAAGATATAAAAAATACAGCTTACCGATGCAGTTACGTGGTCCAGCACTGAATGGTAAATACGAATAAGGGTGACGATTTCGGATTTTTTCAGGCAAAAATCTGTTAGGATCAAATACTTCTGGATTTGACCAAAAGTTAGGATCTCTGTGGACTCCGTAAATGTTAAGATGCAAGAATGTTCCAGCAGGTACCAAATATGACTCTAAAAAGCATATCGTACAATAATTAAGATTTAGAAATAATAAAATTTAAGCTGTATTCAAATTTTAAAATTGAATATACATCTAATACAACATAGGAATAGTTGCTTATAGTTTGCATGATAAAAAATATAATACAATTATTATTTAAATTGTATTAAGCATTACTTGCTTAACATTATTTTTTTTTAAATATTATATTAGATGGAGCTTCGTACGTATTTAAAATTTTGAAATATTATAGAAATAAACTTTAATAAAAATATACAAATTTTTAAATTTCTGAAATATATGGAAATATTGCCTTTTATGCGTATTTACTTCATACATTTGTTGACATGTTGCGTAATATATTAAAAAATTTATACAAGAAAAAGTTGGTTAAATGCATACGTAATTTTACGTCTTCCGCAGTAATTCGTGATAGCATATACACGCTAGGATATAAGCGCAATGCTTCCTTTATACATCTTTCCAAATATGGTAGGTCTTGCAATAATTTTATAGTATACTTCTGTTCATTCTCTCGCAAGGCTGTATCGACTTCGTTCCTGACACGATCCTGTATGATTATTGTTAATTAAAAGGCGTCTTTTGTTATTATGCTATTTTTACGTAGAAACAAATATATTTCGAGAATATTTATTTTACAAATGTTTTGATTAATCCGTGTTTGAAATATGTGTACATAAATTACAATTCAGATATAAAAGAATATTTGAAATATGTGCGTACGCTTACGTGTGCGTATACGCATGCGCGCGCGCGCATTTTTTCTGTATCTTTTAATGCAAGAAAGCAAATTGTGTACACATACACACTTTTAAAAACATTTAAGAGGTTGATATTGATTCATATTTAATCCTCCGTCTGTATACATTTTTTTGCACAGTCGGAGTGGGTCTATCACGTTCGACGCGATTTTTCTCTAACATAAAGTATTTTTAAAAATCTGAAAAAAATCATGAAACATTGTAGTTAACAATTTTATAATCATTTTGATAAACATCGTTTATTTAATATCTTTTGGTAGATTTGCAAGTTATATATGTATGAGCAGATATCATTTTGGCTCGGACGACATAGACTTACGTATACAGACGGAGGGTTAATAAATAACTTCTGTTAACAATTAATTTATTTGCCTAAGAATGGCGGCTCATACTGGACGATGTATACCTGAATGTCGTTATGTTCAGCTAATAGTGCCAAAATGAAGCACAGACCCGCCGCTGTAGTGTCATAACCCTATAATATAATTGTATACATCAATCTATCATAAACCGATGAATCAAATAATAATGAATAAAAATGGTTAAAAAGAAATTATGTACCTCCAACATAAAAGTATCAACTTCTTCTCGAATATCTAAATCAGTCATAAAGCCATCACGAGATGCCGCTATTAAAAGGTCCAACATTGCAAGTCGTTTTCTTCGTACTAAATCGAAATATATAAACATGTTTATATCAAATTAACAGCCAAATTCTTCTGTGACGTTTTTATTAACTTGACTACGTTAAGAATTTAAACTATAAGTATAATATTCATGAGTTCTAAAATATAATTTATAATATTGAACCAACTAGATTTAAAGAATAACTCCCGATTACATTACGTACTTCCTACCGGTTCTCCATCATCTCTCTTTGCCGACGTGTCATTATCAAAGCTTTTTAAGTATTGCCCATTAGTACGATCATGATAAAGTTTTCTTTCAGCAATTATCTATGTAAATACAACATTAATGGTTTTTTTTATAAATACATTAGTAATGTGTTGTTAACATTTACAAATTTTAATTTTTCTACGTAATAATCATGTTGTAATTTTGTTTGTGCTGTAATAATTTTAAATAGATACTACTGTATGAATATACTATTAAGTAGCATTTTTGCGTACTCGTTTAGTAAATCCATGTAATATCTTCAGCAACTTCTTTTGCTCTCTACCTTTGGACGTCAACGAGAATATCCAATCGCTGCGCAGCCATTGTCTCATTACTCTAAATAATTAATAAATGTTAGGCATGTTACTTTAAGAAAATGATAATACTTGGGAAACACACATTTCTTTAATTTTTTAAATACACTCTTGCAATTAGTTCTATTTCAGTAACTATATAAAAAAAGAATACATTTAAACATTAATAAAATTATGCTACAGAGATATGCAAAATTTTATATAGTTAAAATATTATACCTTCTTTTAACGATTTATTCTTAAATTTATTTCTATTTGTGTTTAAATAGACAATTTAACAGATATGTAATGTATAAATTTCTAATTAACGAAAGTGTACCTCTTTATATAATTATACAATATACGAATTCATATTTTAATTAAGACAGAATATGGATATACAGTTATTTATTACATCTAATAACAAATGAATTATTATTATACCTGTAAGTAAGAAGTTCGCCCATTTTATGAACCGCTTCTCGATACTGTTGCTGGAAATCACCAAGGCCTCGTAAAGAAGTGCCCATGGCAGTTTCTGCAAAAGCATTTGTAAAAGTATCATGATAATATTATCATATATATTTCAAAAGTATCTGTGGCTGTAAAAATTATGTACGAATCAGTATCTATGTTGTGATATTAATATTTAAAATTAAAAAAATTTGATTTTGATCTAATTTAACTTATTAATAAGAATAAAACTTACAGTAAAAATGTACAGTTATGAACATAACATACCACATATTGCATTCAACGTATATTCACTTAAAAATGGTACTAAATCTTTCACAACTGTGCCTTCTGCATTTTTTAAAGATTTGGTCATGTTTTCACCTTCCTCAATCAAAATCTGGACAAAATGCTGTAATATATTAAAATGAAATGTAGGGGTCAATATCTTTCGTCGTGAATGCCACTTGGCGCCTGAAACATAAATAACATATTACATAATTGTGTGATAACTATGTGCAGTAAAACATAAATTAAAATTAATTGATTTTTAATAACCATTAAATATTACAAATGTATTCTTTTTGTGATATGCGTTTAAACTTTTGCGACAACACATCGTGTAATAAAACGAGAAAGAAATTTTTTGTAATACGCTTAATTGTTATTTTTTTTATAATATTTATATTTAACATGATTATATTATTTAATAATTTATTTTTTTATATTTAATAATACAATAATTTTTTTCATAATTGTTATACGATATTGTGAACATATGTAAATCTAATTATGTTCCAAACCGAGCTCCTTAAACCCCGCGTAAATTCATCTCGTAATCTCCGCGGGAATTGCCTTGATTACGTGAATTGTACGTAATATTATATCAAGCTAAACTTAAATTTATTTCGGAAATAACCGGCGTTTTATTCTGAGAATCTTCGAGCGACGAAAAAACTGTCTTTCTTTTTCTACGTAGGCTGGCTCTCTCCTTTTGTCTCGGGGTTTCTGATGTATGCGAAGTAAACACCCGGGACAAAGCGAGAGACTTCAGCGAAAACAGTTGATCGGCTGTCGATTCCAAAATCAGCTGAGTTCAAATTAAATATTCGGTAGGTCGGCGGCTGATTGACTCGACAAATTTTTTGGCTCGTATAGCCGGGAATCCGGTGTTCGTGTGACGCGCTCGTATAAAATCCCGGACCTTTTGCGCGCGACCCCGCACTCGATTATTATTATCCGGAGCGATTACTGAATATAACAGTATTGCTATACTGAACCGAAACGATAGCTTGTCTTTTGCAGCGATTACCGAGAGACTTTCGTGGCTCGCGTCAAGTCTCTCCTTTTTGTACGAACCATGGGCGTGGCTCGCGGAACGGAGCTTTTTCGGCGTTCACGAATCATTAAATCCGTAGCTCGCAGACTTGCGTAACCAAATCAAAGACATATTGTAAATGTAGACTT